ACACACACACACACAGTCCCTCAGAGAATATTATTTTATATGAATATTACATTATTGTTCGTCCTTGATTATTTGTTTTCTGTGAAAATGGAGAAAAAGTTACACATTTTCAACCACAATCTTTTATATACACAGTGGTGTGATACTAAATATAAATTAATACATATTGTCCGTTAACAAAAACAATCTCATTCCGAGGTCCATTTACTAGCTATTCTGGAGCTTTCGATCAAATCACACCATCTTCCTCGCAGATAGAGTTTGCCCAGTTGTCATTGAGTTGTAGAAGTTCAAGTCTTCGTCCCTTTCTGAGGACTTTTTTTTATCCATGTTGGCTCAAAAGTTGAGATTGAAAGTTCACTCTTCACCTTGGAAACAGCAGTCGAACAAAACAATCTCACGACAAGATCCACTGAGTTATAAGTTTTGTTTCCAAGGTGAAGAACGAGCTTTCAATCTGCTTATTCTATCTGCCGAAGCAATAATTAAAAATAAAAATAAACTGTGTTCCCTGAATCAGTTTATTCCATGTGCACAACCAATTGACCGTTTTCACGATGTGTCATCTTTTACACTAAATAAATGTATTATTTTTGTACCTGAACTTTTCTGTAAAATAGGGCTGTTGACACACCTGATGCCATCTTTTAAAAAGCCTGGATTCAAGAGCACAAACCCTCTCACAGTTTCATATTACACATGTTTTTGTTGTTTATTGTTTTATTTGTTCTTATGTCTGTAACTCACTTTGTAAACATACAACACAAACACTCCAGTTTATTAAAGTAATGCAGTCGAATAAAGGTTGTAACGTTCAGTTTCTGTTGGATGTTTTCTATGGCTTTTGATTTTTCTTAGTGGGTTTTAGTGTTTTAATCTTTTATTTTTATTGTTCTTATAAGTCTTGTTCTGTTTTTAACATTTGTGCACATATCTGTTATTACCTTATATTTAAATATAGTTATATATAGTCTTTTATTTTGATTAATTGGTGTTATGAGCCTTTTTTATTTTTACTGGTTTGTCGTGCACTTTAATTTGATAAACTTAATTTGATTAGAGGTGTTTCTAATATTTTGACTACCCCAATTATATTAACAACTAAATAAATCAACTAAATATTAGAAACTACATCCTCCAGACTGATCGTACTGTTGAATCTCTAAAACAGTTTGAACATTAAAGGAAGGATTTACTGATGAAGATGAAGTCTGTGTCATATTTTATTATTAATTACATGATGATTTAAGGGCCACACTTTGAGTTAAAGGTCTTTACTTCTGGATAGATGATTATAAAACTCTAAATCTAAAAACCAGGAAGAAAACCACCACCAGGTTTTATTTGTTGAGCTGTTGACAGATGTGTTATATTTTAGAGGTTATGTTTATATGTGGCTGAAAATCTTTATGTGCGTGCAGTGAATAAATAAACTAATTATCAGTCTGCATTAGTTGTATAAATGTACGCAATAAACTGGTTACTAAGTCAACAAATAAAGTTTATCTTTATTATTACACATGTTTTTTTTGCTAGAGGACAGAAAACCATGGACAAACAACTATCAATAGAAAACTAACTTTTAATAGTTAATGAGCATTTTAATAAATGAAATGAATAAGATGTGATGTTCCTTTATTGATCCCCCGTAGGAGAAATTTAAGTTAGACACAGCAGCATTGGGGAATGTAGTATTAAAGTACAATAAATAATCACAAAAATAAGAATATTATAAAATATAATAGAAAATATAGACTTTAAGGAAAATATATACACTATATGCAATATGAGTTACTGTACTGTAATGTACTGTACATGTAGAATTTAAGGATAAATAGTTTGATAATAATAGTTTAATCTATTGTTTTTGAGCCTGTAGAGCAGAGTGGGGTTAGGCTAATAATATATATATAATACAGAATATACAATTATATTAATTAATATAAAAGTTCTGTGTGATCTACTTTATCAATACTTTGTAGCTCAGTTACCTCATTTTAAAATTCGTCACCTGTCTGGTTTAAATGGGCGTGTCGCTGCTTTAATGCAATTTTTACAGTTTCAAGTAAATTATTAGTCAATAAATATTTGATTAAATGGTGGTTAGTAAATGAAATCAAATGTTTGCAGAGTGATAAGAATGATAACACGTGTTATAGAGGGCTTGCACAGATTTGAATACAGGTGTGCGGTCAGATCGTTTTCGTTGGAAAACCACTGATCTAAAAGACCATTGAAGGACACGTTCCTTCTCACCCTGTAAACCGGCAGTGAGTGTTACACAAAGATAACATACAAAATGTTACATTTGTATCTATTGACTGATGCTACAGCTGTACTAAAGTACACTTCTGCTGCTTTTATTTTAAGGTTATTAATTCACAGGTAACAGCAAACAGTAGAGAGAGTAGAGCTACCTGGGCGTAATTCAAAGTTGACACTGACCAAATATTAACTCAGGGAAAGTCACATTTCACTGTGTTAAATTGGTATTATATCAAAACTGAGTATGAAATACAAAGTATAGTAATTAATTATGTACTTTTGAATTGCATTTTTGAATTGAGAATATACGTCAGTGCTGCAAAGACATTTTACATTTCACCCCTAGATATGAGACAACACTCACATATTTAAAACAAACACATGTACAGACGTTACCTTTAGGATTCATTACCTGCATGAAAGCAGTCATCTGATGTTAAATGCAGCACTGTACTGTCGGTCTCTGTTTCCTTTTTAAAGGCTGTCACATATGTTGGACCAGTGCAGCCATTGTTTAGAAGGCGTGGTTGGATGAAAGGAAGCCTGTTAGGAAACATGTGTATGAGCGCTGAATGAGGAAGTTAATAAATTGTTAAATCAAACTTTAAAAAAGGATTGAGTGATGTTTATACATACAATCCACAAAGTGTCCCTTCATGTAAGACTTCTTACAGCAGCAGAGTGTCCGTAACATGAACCAGGATGCAACAAGGTGTGGTTTCACGGTCCGAGAATATATAGAGGACCAGCTGATTGTAGTTTTTTTCTTGTTTAAAATAATCGAGATAAACAAAGCAGAGCCAGTCATGTGACTGTGAATGGTTTGAATCATGTATCAGTTTAGATACATGAGTCCACTTTTCTCCGCTGTCTTATCAAAATAAAGACATAAAAAAGCCCCTAGAATATCTTTAAATATATATATATCCTTTATTTTTATATATTGTCTTCATTTATTATATTATTAGTTTTATAATGTCTTAATTTAGAACACTTTGGTCTGACCATAAGGAAGAAGAAGTATAAAGCTAAAATTATTTTACTTGTATGTATTGGGGTTTACTGTTTGTGCTTCTTCCACCACTGATCTAATCTGTTTACATGGTGAATTCAAATAAATGGATATACTGTAATAATTAATATTAATAGTAATAATAACCCTTATACTTGAATGGAACTTAATAAGTATAATTAGTAACTCCAGTAGTGTAGTGCATTGTATACGCAGGTATACAGGGTATATTCACTTATTTTTCAGATTCCATTGTGTATATCCAAAGTTAAACCCTCTGTTGTGCATCATTCAGCAGTGTTCTGCAAGGTGAATTTCCTCCCTTAGGATGGCGAAGGCACAATATAATGATCCTTACTCCTTAAAGTCAAGCAGTGGAAATTAAGTGACAATGTGCAAATACTATTTTATATTATTACTGTTTAGGTTAACTAAAAGAGTGTTTATCCTTTGCTGGATGGGCTGCTTAAAAAGTCCACTTCTCCAAGCACCACTACACCACTGGGTAACACCTGTGTTTACTTTTTTTAAATTAAAAATTAAAAGTGCATATGAAAACACCTACAAAGTGCCCATGAACTAGGGAGTCCAAAGGAGCTGGAGGTCTATAAAGAGCTGTTCACGAGTCCAGAATATACCATGGGAGGTGCTGAGTCTTATCCAGCCTCCAGAGTTGACTAATTACCTGTTTAATTACTGTGTTACTATCAATCACTGCCTGCTTGTATTCCACAACTTTAAACACACAATACATATATACATATGGTTAGATTTAGATTTATTTTTTATTAAGATTTTATATCATCATGAGTTACATTTTTATAGATAATTAATCCCCAATATTTAAAATAATTAATTATTGTATAAATCATTTTGCTGGGTAGACCACACCAGTCTACCTGTCGACGTCCCATACTATTTCATTTCAAAAAGCTTTTTTTATATATTGGTATGTTCACAAAAAAATGTCATAGCAGCCTTTTTATTTAGCCTATTTATTAACTGATTATAATTAAACAAATGTATAATAATCTCCACATGTTTTCACTCGTTGTTGTTGTACTCCGGTACCACCAAACAAGGCGCTGTTCCTCACACTGAACACCCGTCCTGCGCAGACTACAGCCCGGCAGTGATGTCCCTGAACGTCCGCTGGAAACATCACATCCCCCTCCCCTCTCTCTCTCCCTCCCTCTCTCCCGGTCGTGCACTGTTTTGTAACATTGGGATCTTTTTGAGAGTTTGACAGCGCTGTCTGTCTGTAAAATACACGGTTTGGTGTTGCGGTTTTATAAACACACTCAATCCCCGATGAAGTAGTAGCGACATGAGCATGTTCGCTTCTTTCTGACACAGTGAGGCTTCGTTTCGTTCAGAGGTTCAACGGTTCAACGGTTAGCTCATTGCTAGGTAACGTTCGCTGTCAGCAGACCAACGGTTGACAGCCGTTGTTTCGGTTTAACTGGTGACCGTGTTAACTGGTGACTTTCACGTAGGCGTTCTCCTAAAAAGGACTTTATAGTT